TGCTATCTATAGAATAAAACCTTTAAAGTTCAAGCTTGGGCGTAACTGTTCACAAACATTTTTCAAGGCAACACTTTTGTACCTCAGGCAAGGCTCGTCTCTCTGGGGCTCTCACTCTAAGTGTTGCACTTACATAAATTTGGTTTCAAGAAACATTTTAAAAATTAAAGTATACTTAGTTCAAGCTTTTTGTGTGACATTTATACTTTTTTCCCCGATGAGTTAATTTAGCCTCTTCAGAAGTGGGTCATTTGAAATTGTAAGGAAATTCTCAGTTTTGTAAGTGATTTCAAATTTTTATGTAGATCAAGACAGCAAGTAAGTGTTAAAATTTGTACTTAAAAATTTTATACTATAGGGGCTCCTGGGTGGCTCAGTCGGTTAAACGACTGACTTCTCAAGTCACGATCTCACGCTTGTTGAGTTGGAGCCCTGCATGGGGCTGTCTGCTGTGATCACTGAGCGCACTGAGCACTGAGCACTGTCTGCTGTGATCACTCTATCCCTGCCCCTCCCCCGCTGGGTTCCATGCTCTCTCAAAATCAAACATTAAAAAATTTATACTACAATGACAATCAAATGCAACCAACATACAACATTAACTGAATGCTAAACAAAAAACAACAAACAAAAACAAAAAAAAGGAAAGAAGAAAACAGAAGGTACATTTTGGGGACAATTGTGGAAATTTTAGTATGTATTCTATTTTAGATATTATTGAATTAATAACTGTACAGGTTTTCTTGTTGCCGCTGTACCGAGTAACTACAAACTGTGGCTTAACACAAACGTTTTCTCTTATACTTCTGGAGGCCAGCAGTCCAAAATCAGGGTGTTGGCAGGGCTGCCTTTTTTCTAGAGGCTGTTAGGGGAGAATGTTTCCTTGCCTCTTCCAGGTTCTAGAAGTTGCGTGTATTGCTTGGCTTGTGACCCCTTCACTGCATCACTCCAACTCTCTTGCTTCTGTCCTGTCATCTCCTAGTTCTAACTCTGGATCCTCCTGCCTCCTTCTTATAAGGACTCTTGTGATTACCTCAGGCTCACCTGGCTAATCCAGAATAACCTCCCCAGAATAACCTCCCAACATATTCACAGGAATTAGGATGTGGACATATTTGGGGGCCATTACTAAGACCACCAAAATAACAATTATGTAGGAGAATATCCTTATTCGTAGTAGAAACATCATGTGAAGTATTTAATGGTGAAATGTCATGATACCTGAAACTTTATTGTTTTTTGAAACTTTATTTTTTGGGGGGCACCTGGCTGGCTCAGTTGGTTGGGGATCCTGACTTGATTTTGGCTCAGGTCATGATCTCACAGTTCTGAGTTCCAGCCCCTCATCAGGCTCTGTGGTGACAGCCTTGGGATTCTCTGTCTCCCTCTCTGCCCCTCCCCTGTTAGCTCTCTCTCTCTCTTTCTCTCTCAAAATAAATAAACATTTAAAAAAAAGAAACTTTATTATTATTATTTTTTAAAGAAATCTCTACCTCCAACGTGGGACTTGAACTTATGACCCTGAGATCAAGAGTTGCATGCTCTACCAACTGAGCCAGTCAGGCGCCCCAATAACTGAAACTTTCAAATGGGTCAGTAAACACAGAGAGAGAAAGCAAACGTGTCTAAGAGTGATAGATATATAGGTATTAATTGTATTTTTCTTTCAACTTTTCTTATAGCTTTTAACTTATAAATATAAGAAGGGAAAATATGTATTAATGTATTGATGTATGTATTAATAAATTCCATGTAATGTGTATGTTTTAGATATTTGTCTTATACTTAAGATTCAATTTTATTTATTTAAAAAAATTTTTTTTACATTTATTTATTTACTTTTTTTTTTTTCAACGTTTTTTATTTATTTTTGGGACAGAGAGACAGAGCATGAACGGGGGAGGGGCAGAGAGAAAGGGAGACACAGAATCGGAAACAGGCTCCAGGCTCTGAGCCATCAGCCCAGAGCCCGACGCGGGGCTCGAACTCATGGACCGCGAGATCGTGACCTGGCTGAAGTCGGACGCTCAACCGACTGCGCCACCCAGGCGCCCCTACATTTATTTATTTTTGAGAGACAGAGAGGCAGAGCACAACTAGGGGAGGGGCAGAGATAGAAGGAGGCACAGAATCCGAAGCAGGCTCCAGGCTCTGAGCTGTCAGCACAGAGCCCGATGCGCGGCTTGAACTCACAGAGTATGAGATCATGACCTGAGCCGAAGTCGGACGCTCAACCGACTGAGCCACCCAGGCGCCCCAAGATTCATTTTAAAAGTTCCATTGGTTTTGGGGTGCCTGGTGGCTCAGTCGGTTAAGCCTCTGACTTTTTTTTTTATGTTTATTTATTTTTGAGAGAGAGAGAGAGAGTGAGCAGGGGAGGGGTAGAGAGAGAGGGAGGCAGAATCTGAAGCAGCCTCCAGGCTCTGAGCTGTCAGCACAGAGCCCAATGTGGGGCTCGAACTCACGAACCACGAGATCATGACCTGAGCTGAAGTCAGACGCTCAACCAACTGAGCCACCCAGGCACCCCATCCTGATTTTGGCTCAGGTCATGATCCCGGAGTTGGTGAGTTCAAGCCCCTGGTCAGGCTCTGCACTGACAGTGTGGAGCCTGCTTGGGATTTTTTCTTCCCCCGCTCCTCAAAATAAATAAACTTAAAAAAAAGTTCCATAGTTTTTATCAAACTATGGTCACCTTAGACCAGTGGCTTTCAGAGTTTTGGATTTTCTGACTATTAAAATTTCCAGGGATGCCTGGCTGGCTCAGTCAGTAGAGCATGTGACTGGATCTGAGTTGTAAATTCGACCCCACATTGGGTATAGCGAACACTTAAAAATAAAACTCTTTTGGGCACCTGGGTGGTTCAGTCAGTTAAGCGTCCGACTTTGGCTCAGGTCATGATCTCAGTTCATGAGTTCAAGCCCTGCATCAGGCTCTGTGCTTACAGCTCAGAGCCTGGAGCCTGCTTTGGATTCTGTGTCTCCTTCTCTCTCTGACCCTGCCCTGCTCCTGCTCTCTCTCAAAAAAACAAAACAAAACAAAACAAAAAAAAACACCAAAAACTTAAAAAAATTTTTTTCCGAAAGATTTTTGACGTACTTTTTTACCATCATTCTACAAAACAAAGGGCATTTCAAGACTAAGAACAGGGGCGCCTGGGTGGCTCAGTCAGTTCCGCATCTGACTTCAGCTCATGTCATGATCTCATGGTTAGTGAGTTCAAGTCTCCTGCATCAGATCCTCTGTCCTCTCTCTGCACCCCCCCCACCCCCCGCACATGCTCTCTCTCAAAAATAAAGATAAAACAAAACAGAACTAAGAACAGACACTTCTTTAAAACAGGAAATCCATTTAGCTTTATGGACAGCATAACTATATTTTGTTAACTTTTCTCTCCTCCTTCAACCCAAATGGAGGAAAGCTGAAACTCAGTTTGAGGGAAGGCTGGGCCACCTCAGACTAACAATATCAGAGCCGGTGATGCCCTCTTGTGGCCGCCTGGAGAGTTACTGCCATCTGACTTCATTTCCTCTGATTTGATGGACAATTTTCTCCCAATACTTAAGTCATTAATTCTTGTATGCCAGACATTGTTTGGGAAATATTAGTAAAGAACAAAAACACCCCTGCCCTAGTTGAATTTATATTCAGGGGGAGAGACAGACAATACACAAAGTATTAAGTGTCGTGGAAGAAAATAGAGGCATAAGGGGCTTGAGGGCCAGAGTATAGGGGGTAGTAACATAGTGACAACTTTAAGAGTAGCCCTCATTGAGAAGGTGACTTTTGGAGAGTTGCGAGGAGGTGAGGGAGTTCGCCTATGTAGCTACATATCTGAGGTGAAAGGTTCTAAGACAGAACCTCTCTCACTGTTCAGCAGAAAAGTCAGTACAAAACCCTAAGGCAAGAGTTTGTCCATTTCAAGAAACACAGAACCAGTGTAGATCCAGTAAAGGAGAAAGAGAGGAGGAGACAGTTTAGAGGTAATGGGAGACTAGGTTGCCTACGGTCCTCCCTGCAGGCCATTATAAGGGCTTTAGCTTTACTTAAGTGGAGAGCCCTGCAAGAAGATAGAAACTGAAGTTTAAAAGGACTACGCTGGCTGCTGTATTGAAATGGGAATGGAAGGGCAGAAAGCCCTCTAGAGTAAATTAGAGGGAAGAGGATGGTGGACTGGACTTGGACCATTAGCAACAGAGGTAATGAGATACGGTTGGATTCTGGATATATTTGTAAGGTAAAATCAACAGAAAGAATGGATACAGATGTTGAAGAGAGACATTAAGGAGAACACTTTTGTTCTGAGTGACAAAAAGGATGAACTGCTATCACTTGAGTTGGGGGAGGTGACACAGGATCAGGAGTCCAGTTTTGGACACAAAGAGGTGGAAATGTTTAGCCAGAGATATAAATGTGTGAATCAATGGAATATGAACAGCATTTAAAGTTCTGAGACTGGATGAGATCACCAGGGTGAAAAAGTAGATGGAGAAGAGGCTCAAGGTCACTCCAGTTAGAAAGAAGCTGGTTTGGGCGCCTGCATGGCTCGGTCAGTTGAGCGTCCGACTTCAGCTCACAGTTTGTGAGATCAAGCCCCACACTGAGCTCTGCGCTGAGCCAGCTTGGGTCCTCTCCCTCTTCCTCTGTCTGCCTCTCCCCTGCTTGTGTTCCCCCACCCTTTCTCTAAAAAATAAACATTTAAAAAAGAAAGAAAGAAGCTGGGTTGAAGAGGACAAATCAGCAAAAGAGTAAACGAGGAAGCAACCAGAGAGGTAGGAGAAAACCAGGTGAGTGTGGTCTCCTGGAGGAGGGAGTGCAGGGGCCAGTAAGGAGCTGAAGTGAGGGTCTCTCCTCAGGCTATGCTCTTGAACCTTAAAGGATGTTGATGTTCCTTCACTCAGAACCAGCTTTTCTCTTTTTCCTTGGCGAGCAGAGGCACCCCAACCCACCATGGAAGCTCTCATTTAATCCTCCCTCCCCCTTACAGAGAGAACAAACAGACAGCAAGACTATTTATTGAAATTTCCCAGACAGCAGCCCTTCCTCTCCCCTACTGGCATGAACCCCCCCAGCCTCCCACCTAGGGCTAACGGAGGGAGTCACCCTGAGCTTGACCCTAGGCTCCTTCTGCCAGGTAAAACACAGCCTTGGCCTTTATGGGTTGCCTCAGAGGCTCCGTTACTCCTTTCCTTCCGAACCCTCCTTCTGGAAGTATGTGGTGTAAGCCAGTTGATCCTCACCACAAGGGCCACGGTAAAAGCTCATGTTGCTGTAGGAGACGCCACTGATGGATAACGCTGGAAGCAGGGGAGGCGAGCCTGAGTCTGGGTGCCCGTTGCACCTCTGCTCCAGGGCCCCTCACTCCCCACTCACCTTTGGAAACATTGACTTTGTTGGCCGCCAAGATGTCCGCCTGAATGCTATCTATTTTCATGTACAAGTCCTCGGCATTGCTCTGAGGACAGGAGCAAGGGGAACCTGCTGAGGTGCAAGGGCAGTCTGCACTTGGAGGTGGGCTCGGGCAGAGGACTGTCGCAGGATCCAGTGCTTGACCGGAAGGGCAGTAAAGAGAACGGAAGGACACGAGGCGGGGGAAGGGGAGGGGAGAGGGGGAGAGCGCAAGCCAGGGCAGTCCTTCCTGCAGCGGGCCACCAGGTCCAATCTGTGTAGGGGGTGTGTCCCAGGGGAGGGACGCTGTGGAGGCGGCACCGTACTGTCGGGGTCACTGCTTTTTGGGGCGGGGCGGGGCGGGAGCACTCACGAGGAAGAGCTCGTAGAGTTCCTCTCCCATGGACCTGCGCACGTGCTCCTCCACCACTGGGAACATCTGCACGAAGTACTGCGGCGGCGGACGGGGCGGCGGCGGGGTGACCGCGGTGGAGTCGCCCGGGGCCCGCCGCGCCGCTCGCCAGCCCTTCCGCCGCTCACCTCCAGCGTGAGGCTGGCCTGCCGTTGGCTGTTGCTGTGGTCCGTGTTGCCCATGGCGGCCATCAGGCTGTGCACCACGCGCAGGTGCAGCATCTCCTCGGCGATGCTCGTGTTGCTGCGCGCCAGGACCCTGCGCCAGGAATTCCGGCTGCGGCGACCCCTTGGAACCCCCCAGACGGCGCGAGCGCTCCGGGGCCTGCGGGCAGCGCCAGCCTGTTTTGCTCCCCCCCCTCCCCCAACTACCCCTGCCCGCTTACCCGATGGCCTTGGCCGCCGCGGCCTGCTGCAAGAACACCGGCAGGTTGGCGGTGAGCTGGAGAACCGCGGAGTCTGGAGGAGGGGCGGCCGTGAGGCGGAAGGCCCTGCTCCGCAAGCCCAGGAGCCCCTCCCGCAGCCCCGGTCTGAGCGGCTCCCTACCGTTGAGGATCTTGGGCTGCAGTTTGCTGGCCTCCTTGACTGATGGTATCAGCAGCGCCACGAGGCCCTTGAGCAGCGCCTGACACACGTCATAGTTGACCAGGTCCTTGATCAGCTCGATGGCTGGAGAAGGGCAGAGGCTCTGGGGAGGCCTGACCTCCAACACTACCCATCCCCATCCAACAAGCAAAGATCCCCCCTTAAACCAAGTCGCTTCCCTTTACCCTCATCCCCTTCATGGACCTCTCCTAGCACCTTTTACTCGTCAGCACTGTGCAAGGTGTGTGTGGGGCAAGCTGGGCAGGCAACACCTCACTCCTGTCCTTTCTGGATCTGTGGTTAAAGAGGAGGAGGGGGCTGAGCCTCATCTCCCACCCTCACCCCTCACCCCTCACATAACTAGCCATAGAGGGAAGAGGAGGGTTGGATGGTGAGCCTATCCATCAAGGAGGCTTAGACGCTGTCAGGGCTGGAGGCCCCACAGAGGTGGGCCCACCTTGGGCTTGGAGGAATCCGGGTGTCCGTGTGGGAGGGGCTAGGGCTTGAAAGGGAGACAAAGATGGACAAAGACAAGGGGTGAGAGGGAGACAGAGCAAGTGGGTGGAGGATATGTGGCAGAAAGTGAGAAGGGTGGAAGCAAGGTAGATTGTGGTTTGGGGAAACTTTAGTTTCTGACAACCCATTTATGGAGCCCTTCTTTGCCTAGGCTTTCCACACAGTATTGCGCTGAAGCAAGCTTACCTTAACCAAATGAGATTTGCTTTGCAATATTTTACATTTGCCCATTTTACATTTCAGGGAATGAGGCCCAGGGGTAAAGCACTCTGCCTAAGGTACCATAGCTAGGAAGTGGTAGAAGCAAAAGGAAAGACTTGGTTAGGAAGAAAGAAGGAACTAGAATTTATTGAGGGGTTTTCCTGTAGATACTTTCCAGCCATCCATTCATTCCAGCATTCACTCAGCCCTTGGGCACATCTGCATTAAACACCTGGCACAGGTGCACTGTATGGTGACAAGTGCTTTAAAAGGGGTTCATAGGCTGTGGCGTGCCTAGGAGTGCACTGGGGAAAACTGAATCTTTTTGTAAAGGGAAAGGAACCACGGAGAGGCAGAGCTGGAAGGGGGCACTGTGAGATGGTAATGTGACGGAACACTGGGGTAAATGTTATTTGAAACACATATACTTGCCACACAGAAGACAGAGCGCATGGTCCCCCAGCACAGGAGTCAGGTCCCCCCTATTTCTCCATTTACTCCTAGGGGAGCCAAGATTTGGGAAACCACCCATCCCTGGCTAGCTCATTTGCATACCAGGCTGCATTTATACACATGGTAACTATTATCAGTGTTATCTCTTTGAATAACGGAAGTTAACCCTTTATTTCCTTGACAGGAGATTTTTACCTAGTAAGGATATACTTGAGGTAATTCTCTGCACTGGAAGAAAAACTTTTGCCTGCAAATGCAAAGGCACTACAAGTGCAGGGGCATCAGCCAGTAGTATCCAGGATGATGGGCACAGAAAGAGCACCAATATTTCGTTTCTCTCCTTCTTAAGTGAATCTTTGGCTTAGATGCTGAAGGTTTTGTGGGATGAAACATTAGAAAATTGGTAGTGAAACTTTCAGAGGCCTTACTTAGGAAAGGCTAAATGTTGAGCATGTCAAAGATAGTCCCTTGACATTGTACGGGCCTGAATGGGCTCTTAACTTAGTAATAAGAAACTAAGACTAAGTTGTATTGCTAAAGATTATTTTAGTGAGCTTCTTTTTGTCCTGGGGCGTGTACTCCTTCACAAGGTTGAGAACTTAAGATTGTTAAGATTGGGTCGCTGGGTTTCCACGCTCCCCCCACCCCCCATCATAGCTACAAGTGAGACTCCAGTTTAGTCCTATCCTGTCGCCACCTGCGCTCCTTAGGGCCCCAAGGCCTAGGCTTGGGCAACATCTCAACAAATGTTTTGGGTGCCTTCCCTTCCCCTGAGCCATGGGTGGTGGGGCAGGTTGCAGACTCGTGCTCTACTTTGTGCCAACCCTGGCATCTCACCCAGAGGACTCATTTGCATATACCCATTGGTGCTGCCCTTAGTACTACAGGTCGGTTTAAAACTGGGCGTTTCTCTGTTTGCATGGATCAATTTACGTCTTTTCAAAAAATCCCCTTCACAATTTTTTCTAGCAGAGTGACTGCAGCACAGGAATAGACCTCAGGCTTGGAGAATTGCAGTTACAGAAAGAGGGGCAAACATAGCTACGTATATTCTGGTTTCTCTTCAGATTGCTCACCTTTTGCTAACGATTTCCGTGGAGAGAAACGTTTGCAAGTTTGCCTTATTTCTGAGCTCAAATGAAAAGTTTCCAGCGTTTCATCTGTTAGGTATGGTATTTGCTATAGTTTCTTATAGATACCTCTTATTGAACAGAGATTTTTTCAAACTTTTTTTCCTGTTAAAATGATATATGTGCATTCCTGGATTGATATATTATCCTTGGCATATTCTGCTAGATTCAATTTGCTAATATTTTACGTAGTTTTTGAGTTATGTTCATGAATAAGAGTGGTGTATGATTTCTCTTTTGCATGCTGTTATTCATGGATTTTGATACTAAGATCAGCTAACCTTACAAGGTGAGTTGGGGGTATATGTACTTTATTTTTCTAATCTTGGGAAGAGTTTGTGTAAGACTAGAATTTTATCTTCAATGTTTGATAGAATTCTCTTAAGCTGATTTTATAGGGAAAAAATTACTGATTCATTTTCTTTAATGGTTAGGGGACTATTTATGTTTTCTATTTCTTCCCAAGTCTATTTCAGTAGGTTATCTTTTCTAGCAGTTTTCATTTACATTTTCAAACATATTGAAAAAAGTTCATTTTATCATCTTTTAAAAAATCATTTTAGGGGCGCCTGGGTGGCTCAGTTGGTTGGGCATCCGACTTCAGCTCAGGTCATGATCTCGCGGTCTGTGGGTTCGGGCCCCGCGTCAGGCTCTGTGCTGACAGCTCAGAGCCTGGAGCCTGTTTTGGATTCTGTGTCTCCCTCTTCCTCTGACCCTCCCCTGTTCATGCTCTCTCTCTCTGTCTCAAAAATAAGTAAATGTTAAAAAAAATTAAAAAAAATAATTTTAATGAGTGTAGCATCCATAGTGATGTATCCTTTTATATTCTCCATATTAATTACATGACTTTTCTCTTTTTGCATCAGTTCCCTTTGCCCCTAGGTCCCATGGGTGTAATGCCACGGATGCTTGCTTACGCAGGAGTGTGCACTACAAAGAGAAACCCTGATCTCAGAGAACCTGAATGTTATAGTCAGTAAGCATGCCTGGCTTTTGCTTGAAACGGAGAAATATATTTTCCAAAGCTTGTTTGCTAACCAACATCCTTGAAAAGATAGTCTGGAACAAAGAGCAATTAGCATCTCACTTAAAAGACCTGCAGAGGGAGCTTGGGTGGCTCAGTCAATTAAGCATCTGACTTCAGCTCAGGTCGTGATTTCACAGTCTGTGAGTTCAAGCCCCACGTTGGGCTCTGTGCTGACAGCTCCGAGCCTAGAGCCTGCTTCTGGATTTTGTGTTTCCCCCTTTCTCGGCTCCTCCCCTGCTCATGCTCTCTCTCTCAAAAATAAATAAACATTAAAAAAAAAATTAAAAAGACCTGCAGAAATGTGACAGACCTGTAGAGAATTGTCTCCTAGGATTATTTTTCTTTTGCTAGAAGTAATCCTTCAGCAGACATCCTTGCCTTGCTCCTGAACTTAGGGGCAAAGCATTCAGTGTTTCACTATTAAGTATGTTAGCTGTAGATTTTTTTCTTTTTAATTAAGTTGGGGAAGTTCTTCTCTAGTCTTATTTTTCTGAGAGTTTTTATCATGGGTGCTGACTTTGTCAAATGCATATTCTGTACTGATTGATATAATAATGTGATTTTTCTTCTTTAAAGAGCCTATTTATTTGGAATATAAAATTGATTGATTTTTGGATACTGTACCAGCCTTGCATTCCTGTAATGAACCCTAATTGGTCATGGTGTATAATTCTTTTTACATGTTGCTGAATCCTAACTGGTAATATGTTGTTAAGGATTTTTGCATCTATATTGATGGATGGATATTGATCTGAACTTTTCTTGTACTGCCACTGTGTGTTTTGGTATTAGGGTAATACTAACCTCATAAAATCAATTAGGACTTACTCCCTCCCTTTCTGTGTTCTAGGAATACAGAACTGTGTTCTATAAATATCAGTATACACTGATGGTTTTCTTTTTTCTTTTTTTTAATTTTTATTTATTTTTGAGAGAGAGACAGAGCGTGAGCAGGGGAGGGGAGGGGAGAGAGGGAGACACAGAATCTGAAGCAGGCTTTAGGCTCTAGGCCTGATGTGGGGCTCGAATTCATGAATAGTGAGATCATGACCTGAGCTGAAGTTGGACGCTTAACCGACTGAGCCACCCAGGCGCCCCTATACACTGCTGGTTGATGGTGTTATTGAGTTCTTTATACTTGCTGATTTTTCTAGTTATTCTATACATTGTTGAGAGGGGGGTGTTGAGGTCTCCAACTATGATTGTAGAGCTCTCTTTTCAATGCTATCATTTTGCTTTACATATTTTGGTAGGTCTCTTTTTCAGTGCATATACATAAATGTATATGTCCATATACTATGTTTATGGATTACTATGCCTTCTTCGTGGATTTACCCTTTCGTCATTATATAATATCCCTCTCCATCTCTGGTAACTTTCTTTGCTCTGAAGTCTACTTCATCTGATATTAATAGAGCTGTTCCTGCTTTCCTTTGATTAGTACTTTCATGAAGTATCTTTTTCTTTTTCTTTTCGACCTGCTTATACTGTTTTATTTGAAGTGAAGGTCTTGGAGACAGTACATAGTTGAGTCATAGTGTATGGATTTATTTTTATTTAACCTGTTTAGATTTTATTGTGGATTGGAGTCTTTCATCATTTCTTGACAATTCTCAGTCATTGTCTCTTTAATGGTGCTGCCCTGTTCTTTCTCTTTTCTCTTTGCCCCTCTTAGATAATCTCGCTCTATCCTTAGTCTTACTCTTCTTCCCCTCTTCCAGGTTACTAATTTTCTCTTCTAACTAATTTTCTAACTA